TATATATATATATATATATATATATATATATATATATATATATATATATATATATATATATATATATATATAATACAGGAATTAAAAGATGCTACGTCAGGGCTAAAGACCAGCTCCTAAAAATGACAGTTAGTAGTAAGGCATTTATTTGGAGAGGTTTAGGTGGTGATATGTTGTTTAACACAGGCTTCACGTCTCGTAATCAGCTTGACATGAGAGCACGCAGGTTATCAGCTATTTCTGGGCACTGTCACACCAAATGTGGCTGCCTCACCCGACCCAACCTTTCAATCCAAGCTGGGTGAGGTAAAGCTGCTCCACATTTAGCAATTCTTAACTGGATGATGTGGAATAAAGAAATCCTGGACCTTCTGCCACGGGTTTTTATTTTTTCATTTGAACCTTAAACAACTCTTTATATCCAGTGAATTCTGACTGTAACTGTGCTGGAGATTTTCCACTTCTTCAATGACACAAGTTCTGCAACATTTTGGAGCTTTCTATACATAAATACTTGCTCTAACAATAAAAATGTAAGATACATATTATTATGGGGCATGCAAAAACAAGAAAACGAAAACTGGATGAGTTGGAAAAGGATCTGAATTAATTAAAATGAACATTAAACCAGTTTTTATGTTATTCAGTTTTCTTGAAAGTCCAAACCTTGTGGTTCTCCTCTTTCTGTTTGCAGGGTTTTCAAGAAGACCAGTGGCAATGGAGGGGTCAGTGTTCGTTTCTTGTTTGGATACTCACATTGACGTTTTGTAAGTTCTGAAAGTTTAAACTGTTTCCATGTGTCCAACAGCTGACCCTGTACCTGGGGAAGAGAGATTATGTGGATCATATCAACAAAGTGGACAGATTAGGTGAGTTTTCTTCAATTGGTTTATTTTCTCTGAGTGTCCAGCAGCGCTGTCAGGATTTGAATTATAATCTTACCTTTTCAGATGGTGTTGTGAAAGTTGAACCAGCTGAGCTTGGTGATCGAAAAGGTAATACAATAAATATTTTACTTTTTCCCTTAGCTTGGTTGAGTCATTTGGACGAACAATAAATGTCTGGTTTCATGTGGGCAGTTTTCATACAGCTGGCATGTGCCTTCCGTTACGGCAGTGAAGACCTGGACGTGATGGGCCTATGCTTCAGGAAGGACATCTGGCTCTTGCAAACCCAACTGTACCCTGACGGCACCAAGCCTGAACTCAGCGAGATGCACGACACCCTGCTGAAGAAGGCGGGCGACAACGCGTACCCCTTCTCCTTTGACGTATGTGAAGAGTTTAAAGACTGGTCCATGTGTTAAATCAGTCATGACTATCCATCCATTATCTTTACTGCTTCTTCCTTTTTGGGTCGCGGGGGCCACTGGTGCCAAAATCCAGCAGTCACTGTGCGAGAGGCAGGGGACACCTTGGACAGGTGCCCAGTCCATCACAGGGACACATAGAGACAACCGTTCACTCTCTCACTCACACCTAGGGACAATTTAGAGTTACCAATTAGCCTAACGTATGTTTTTAGGCTGTGGGAGGAAACTGGAGAAAGCCCACACATGCACAGAGAGAACATGCAAACTCCACCCAGAAAAGCTCCCAGCATCCAGTGACCTTCTCGCTGAGAGGAAACGGTTCTACCAACTGAGCCATCGTGCCGCCTCAGTCATGATTAACAGAAGTAAATTATTTGATGAGCTTAAGTTACAGACTGCAGTTTTTAGATGGTGCAGCTTGTTCAACAAAATATTAATATCACAAAAAAGTTTTAAAAAAAAAAGAAACAAATGGTTGGAAAAAATGTACAATTTCTTGTGATCTTCTGATAGTCAGAAACAATTAATAATGGTTCCAGGTGTTACTCTAATAAAACACTAATATATCGGATGAACGAGTCTGGCTGAGAGGTTTCATAATCACTCATCTAATGTTTCCACAACAAATGAAAAATATCAAATACCACTAAGATTCAAATTTAATGCTTTTTAATGCCATTTAAGTCTTCAATTTGGCTAAATCCATTTAATGACTTTTAATGTTTTTTTAATGCCCCGTGGAAACCCTGCTATAGCAGCAAAACTAAGGGATAGCCAAGGAAACCCAAACGAACCCCAGCTAAATGATTTATAAAAATAAATTCAAGTCTTAGACGCAGTCTTAAAGGTAAACACGGTGTCAGCCTTCACAGACAAAAACTAGAAATTGATTCCACAAGAGAGGAGTCGGATGCTTTCCATTCTACTTTTTGAAACTCTAGGAACCACAAGTAAACCTGCTGTTTGAATGCAAGTGCAACAATATAGAACAGGAAGATCTTTAATAGAAAATGGAGCTTGATTGCTTAGAGCTTTACATGTTAGAAGCAGGACATGTAACGTCCGTGTGCTTTCTCTGTAAGGGCGTGTCGATCACGTGATGTTGTCATTAACTGTAAGCTGTGAAATCACTCAAAAGAATCAAAAGAAGCACTTTTTACTTGACTAAGCATATGTATAACACTGTTTTCAGGATCTTTTTGTGATAAAATAAAGATAAATATGACATAAAACTATCATTTTTATTCAACAAAATAAAATAATAAAAATGTTTGTCATTGAAAGGAAGCCACCCATTTTGTAACATGATTCTCAGAAAGCACATAACTCAGTCAGTCTTTGATATATTCAGCTGAAATTTGGCATGGTCGTAGCTGAGAGCGAGCTGTTATACAATCCTCATGCAAATAAAAGATACAAGATGGCTGCCTTAACTAAAAGGTAAAAATACAATAACTCAACAATTGTAAAAGATATTGAGCTGAAATTTGGTGTGGTGGTACCTGATCGTGATGCACAACACCTTCTGAATCCAAATCTAAAACTTGAAGATGGTCGCCAACGCTAATTTCAAATGGATATAACTCAAGAGGTTTTTAGAGCAATTTGGGTGAAATTTGTTGTATTGGTAGCTGAGAGTGATCCCTCATAGGACCTGACTGCAAATCAAAAGTCCAAGATGGCCACCAAAGCTACATTTAACCGGCTTTAACACAGCTACTTTTACACATATAGTCCTGAAATTTGGTGTGGTTATAACTGAAAACGTTCCCCATCACATACTGAATCCAAATCAAAAACTCAAAATGGCCACCATACCTTAAAATTTAAGAAGAAAAAGAATAAAAGACATTGATTTGTTGCCATATTGAGCTGAAATTTGGTGTGGTGGTAGCTGAGAGCAAACCCCAACACAGTACTGTCAAATCAAAAATTTTAAAATGGCCGCAACGTGGCAGTCCCCGTCAAAGTTTCCCCGGGAACGTTCAAGTTTAATTAATATCTGAACATTTAGCTTTGTGAATGAACTAATAAAAATAATTCTGCTGCTATAAATGTCTTGTTTCTTCTTTAGATTCCCAACAACCTGCCATGCTCAGTCTCTCTGCAGCCTGCGCCAGAAGACAAGGGGAAGGTAAGCCTTCGTTTGTGCTGACACCTTTTTATTACGTAAAGGCATGAACGTGAAGTGGTGAACTTCTCTCTCCAGGCTTGCGGTGTTGACTTTGAAGTGAAAACTTACATGGCCAAGGAGAAGGATAACCCTGATGAAAAGATTGAAAAGAAGTGGGTAAACTTTCTATCTTCACTCCTAAATTGAACTCCCATTTCAGCTGTGTGTCACTAATCTGCATGCTTGACAATTCCCTCTCCCTTTTGCCCAAACAGGGACACTGCTCGTCTCGTTGTTCGTAAAATCCAGTACGCCCCGTCTCAGGTGGGCCCCGGGCCCAAGGCTGACATCTGCAAAAGCTTCATGATGTCCGACAAACCGGTTCACTTCGAGGCATCGATGGACAAAGATGTGAGTGGCAAAGGTTTTATTGTCCATGCATCCTCCACACTCAGCTACAACAATGAACAAATATCATTTATCATTGATATCATATCGTCACCAAATATCATTTGGTTTCCCACAGCTCTACTTTCACGGTGAGGCCATCCCAATCAAACTCAAAATCAATAACGAGAGCAACAAAACGGTGAAGAAATTTAAAATCACCGGTGGGTGCTTTTGCAAAAAGAAACACTTTGACCAGATTAAATTCTGCGATTGTCAATAGAGCACAACCGGATTATTAATCTTTGTTGCTTTGTCTCACAGTGGATCAAACCACCGACATCATCCTCTACTCAGCAGACAAATACACCAAAACCGTCTTCACCCAGGAGATCGCGTACGTCCAGAAGACACCAAAAGCACACAAAGGATACAAATCCAGAGTGACGCGCTGGTTTATTTATTTGCGTTTTATCGTGTTTCAGGGAGACAGTGGAGCCCAACAGCACCTTCGAGAAAACTGTGTGCATCACACCCAGTCTGTCTGAAAACAAGGAGAAAAGAGGGCTGGCCCTGGACGGGAGGCTGAAGGACGAGGACACAAACTTGGCCTCCACCACTGTGTCAGTACACAAAGAAGAATAATTTAGTTTCACCAGTTTCAACTTTTATAGCCTTTGCATTTGCAGCAGCTTCTTTTAAATGCTGCTCAGCATGTGCGCTGTGTCAAAGTAGCACCCTTAACTAAATTAAACCTGCTAATCCCTTAAATCCCTCTGATTCCACCTTCACAGGCTGAAGAAGAATATAGAAAAGGAGGTGCTGGGTATTCTGGTTTCCTACAAGATTAAAATTAACCTCATGGTGGCTGGAGCTGGGTGAGTCTGTCTGTTTGAACCATTTCTGTCACAAGAAACAAGGATGAAAAACTCACAATGTCCCTCTGATCTACAGCCTGATGGGAACCCTCACCGCCAGGTAAGCAACATCTATCACAGCAGCTTTATTGCAGGTAATTACCAATAATTTGCGCTTGTTCCTCAGTGCTGATTAGCCGGTTTATTTTTCTGCACAGTGATGTCACAGTGGAGCTGCCACTGAACCTCATGCACGAAAAACCTCAAGGTATATTTTTCTAAAACAAGTTTATAGTTTAGTAGATTACAGCTCAGAGTTTTACATTCTCATCCAACTTTTCCCTTTTTTTGAATGCCTCCAAAATGAGTAGATTAAGAACGGCACGTCGCTGTAAGTACGTCTTGTAGTTTGTGTTGGTGCTGCCCGTTTATTTCATCTTCATTGTTATGAGTTGTACTTTTCAGTTAATTGAGTTAAAAAATAATTTATATTCATTTTTGCATGAATTTAATGTGTATGGTTGCAGTTAAGTTAAATAGAAACTACTTTTTTTTCCAGAAAGGAGGTTGCCCTGCAAGCTGAGAGGACGATCAAAGAAATTCAGCAAGACATTCGAAGGATGTGACAATAAACAAAAGAAGAAGAAAATGATGTGTGTCAAGGAAATAACAATAAATGATCAGCAGAAGAAAATCTTTTCAACGCATAAGGATATAAGAGGAAATACTAATCCCCTTCACAGCTTTTTGTTGTTTTTGTTCATTTAGTAATGTTATTTAGCTGTAGAGAGTACTTGTTTCACAAAAAAAAAAATCAAATTCTGTACGAAACTCCCAGAAGTGGACTTGTGTTATTTTAAAATTATGATGTGCACAAAATAGGAAATAAGTCTAAAGCCCATAAAACCAATGTGCATTCAAATACTGTGATACACTGACCTGTTGAGAACAAATAAATAGTTTATTGTGAAACTTTTTATTTTATTGGACTTTTCAAAAATCTCAACATGCAATAAAATCTCTTTTAAAAATATTTTAAAGGTGTGATTTATTTCTTGTATAGGCATTGACTACAAAGTTTATATATATATATAAACAGAAAACTTTTTAAAATCATATTATGTGTCTAACAACTTCCACAGGTGTGTTGGTCAGGCGTTTCACTGTCTCTGTCCGTGGTTCTGAAATAAGGTTTTTCCCACAGTGTTGAAATAAGTTACTGCTTCAAATGTGTCTTTTATTTTCACTCTAAACCAGGTTTCTCTCTTGCGATGGTCCAGCCAGGATAAATGATGAGGGCTGTGTCAGAAAGGGCATCCGGTCTATAACAATTTTGCCATAACAAGCATGAGAGTTTGTTCAAATGACACCATACCAGATCGGAAAGTGATGTTGACAAATGGTGCCAGCAGAAATTGTGCTACAGTTAGTTGAAGACTACAAGGAGAGAAAAGGGCCAAGAGAGAGAGGGAAAACAGGAAAGTCAAGAATGCAGGACTGAGGGTTGTAACTCTAAATGTGGGGACAGTGATAGAGAGCTGGCTGACATGATGCAGAGAAGGAAGGTAGATGTTTTATGTGCCCAAGAGACAAAGTGCAAGTGCAGGGTTTAAACTGTTTTACAACGGTGTGGATGGAAAGAGAAATGGAGAAGGGCTGGTGGAAGAAGAAGAAGAATTTTTTATTGTCATTGTACCATGTACTGTGAAGGAGGAGTTTACAAAGAATGTAGTAGAGGTGAAAGAGTGTCAGATGGGGTGATGTGTCTGAAGGTAGAAGTAGTAGAAGGTCTGATGTTAAACGTTGTCAGTGGTTATGCTCCACAGGTTGGATGTGAGGTTGAGGAGAAAGATAAATTCTGGAAGGATCTGGATGAAGTGATAGAGAGTATTCCCAGGGAGGAGAGAGTGATGATTGGAGCAAACCTGAATGAACATGTTGGTGAAAGAAACAGAGGGGATGAGGAAGTGATGGGTAGGTTTGGTGTCAAGGAAATAAACCAGGAAGGAGATGGGTGGTGGATTTTGCCAAGAGAATGGAAATGGCTGCAGTCAACACTTGTTTCCAAAAGAGGGAGGAACATAGAGTGACCTATAAGAGTGGAGGCAGGAGTACGCACGTCAACTACATTCTGTGTAAAAGAGGAAACCTGAGGGAGATTGGGGACTGTAAGGTTGTGGCAGGAGACAGCGTGGCCAGAAAGCATTGGAGGGTTGTGTGCAGGATGTGTTGTGGTGAAGAAAATGACAGAGTGAAATAAAAAAGAAGACCAAATAGTAGATTTTGAGGAAGGAAGGATGCTGTGAGGAACTCAGAGAGGAGCAGTTAAAGACTCCGAGTAGTAAGAATGAGATTCCAGATGACTGGACTACTACAGCAACAGTAATCAGAGAGACGGGTAAGAAGGTACTTGGTGTCATCTGGACAGAGAAAGGATGATAAGGAAACCTGGTGGTGAGATGATGAAGTGCAAGAAGCTATCCAGATGATGAGGGAATCAGAGAAGAATTGGGGCAATGACAGGACAGAAGAGCGATTGGAATACTGTACACTGGTAAAATGATGTTTGAAATGCAGCTGCCAGGAAAACAACAAAGAGGAAGGCCAAAGAGGAGATATATGGATGCAGTTAGAGAGGACATTGAGGTAGTTAGAGTGAGGACAGAGGATGCAGAGGACAGAGTGAGATGGAGGAGGATTATTCGCTGTACCGACAACTGAAGAGGGAACAGCCAAAAGAAGAAGAAGATATTTGAAATGGGAGGATGTGTGTTTAACTAATTGTGTTGTGTATTTATGGTTAAAATGTAAGATAAAAAGGCAGCAGAGCAGCATTACGTTATGAATTTAATTCTAGAGATGTTGCAAAAACCTTTTACAGTGTCTGTATCTTGACAACATGTACAATAGTGTGCATTCCATTGCTTATATTTGGTATTTTTTAATGAATGGCATAGACATTCTTTTGCTCAAAATCACAATCACTGCATCCCCCATCACACATTTCCATTGCTATATTGTTCATAAGCATTGTGTTTGGGCACCTGCCATTATTTTGGGTATCCTTATGTGTTATACTTTTGGCTATTAAAAACAAACACAAACAGTTCAAGCACTATGAGCAAAAGATGGTTTTAAAGATTTTCCATCCACTCAGCTGCAAAAAACAGTGGATGTTGGTTGATTTTCTTACAAGTTTCTTTAGTTCAATGTCCTTCCATAAGTTTTGAGCCTGCAGTGCCTTTCATACAAATTACTTCTCTTCTGATCTTATTTTTTACTCTAATGAGTGGGGGGTTTATGAGGAAAGAGAAAAACATCCGTATTTATTCTAATATTTGGTTGTTTTATCTTAATTAAGAACTTATCCGAGCCTGAATTTGCTTGTTTATTTAATTATATTACCAATTTTGCCTGCAGAGGGCGCTCCAATCCGCTGTAACGTTTCACTGAGACAGAGGAAGAAGACAGCGATGACCCTTGACGTCATCACGCAGCACGTATAGCTCTGAAGCAACATGGCTTTGAATGGAGGTCTGTAAACTTAACTGTTATCATCCCGCTAACGTGGACACGTTTCCCGTTTAGCTGTGCTGTTTTTTGGGTGTTCGTTCGACTTTCAATTAGGCGTTTATATTACGGAGACTTTTTAATTGAATTGTTGTCCTCACCGTAAAACACGTCGTTATTTGGTCGTCACCTCGACTTGCTTGCTAAGTGTTGTGTCCTGACAGATACACTCTTCTTAATTAAAATGGAACTCTGACCGCCAGGGTTAAACACTGACGTGTTTTTTAAAAGCCATTTGAATTGTAATAATATCAAAATATATAATTTCCCCAAATATGGACACGCACAGTGCTATGTGTTTGCAAACGCACACTGAAGTGTAGCTATCTGCGGTTTTGTAGTTGTGTTGACCTCGTTGTTGTTTTTCGACCTGCAGATGAGGAAGACTTTGAGTGGGAGCCTCCAAGTGAGGCAGAGATGAAGGTGATCCAAGCTCGCAGGGAGCGACAGGACAAAATCAGCAAACTGATGGGAGATTACCTTCTGAAAGGATACAGGATGCTGGGAGAGTGCTGTGACGCGTGTGGGGTGAGTGCAGGAGGCTCGTTCGTAGGTCTGAGTTGAATGAGTGTGTTGTTTTAATTTATATATTCTTGTTTGTGTTTCCAGACTATTCTTCTTCAGGACAAACAGCAGAAAAACTACTGCGTCTCATGTCAGGAGCTGGACTCTGATATCGACAAAGACAACCCTGGTAAACTTATTTTTTTTAATAATTTTCTCCCTAAATTTCATCATTTTTTTCCTCCAGGGTTATCATGTGTATTTTGCTACTGTATTGTTTTATGCAATGTAATTTTGCTTAAATCATGTGGTGACACAAATAAAGTTTTAGGTATTTATTAAGAACATGAATAATTGAATATTGTTCCATTTTAATCAGTGGTTTATGTAGGGGGTGGCACGGTGACGCAGTTGGTAGAGCTGTTGCCTCTCGGCGAGAAGGCGCCGAATCAAATCCCGTTCTGCCACATTCAAAATGACGTCGACGCCATTTTGATTTTGATGCACTGACTCATGCCTAGAAGTCAGGTCACTACATATAAAGTTTTTTTTTTTTTTTTCCTTCTTTCGGCTGCTCCCTTCTTGAGGGGTCGCCACAGCAAACTAAGTCGCACAAAGACTCTGCAATTATTTTTACACTGGGTGCTCTTCCTGACGCAACTACCGAGCTACCATAGCCCTCTGTGTGGAGCACAGAGCTGCTTTCTAGGGTGCCCGGGAGAGCAGATGGTGGGGGTTAAGGGCCTTGATCAAGGGCCCAGAGTGGGGCAAGTGAGGGTGGAGGCAGGTGTGGGTATTTCACCTATCCCACCCAAATTTTGATGTTGTCGGACTCGGTACTGGGATGTTGAACCAGCGATCTTCTGATCACAGGCCCACCTTCTCTAACCTCTGCACCACTACTCCCTTGCTCACTGCTTATCAGTATGATTCTATATTTATTGTGTTTTAAGCCATTTAACTGGCTCTATAATTGTTAACTATGAAACCAACAAAGTCCATGCTCAATAATCCAGGTATACGATTCAGCAATTTTCAGTCAGGTCATCTGGACAGTTTTTTTTTTTTTGTATACCTGGATTATTGAGCATAGACTTTGTTGGTTTTGAACCAGTTTGACATGACTGTTGACAAGGAAGAGCAAGAAGGGGTCTCTGCAGGCAAATTCGGAAGGCGTATCTGGGCGCTCATATCTGATTGGACTATAGGAAAGTGGGCGTATCTGGGCGGTCATATCTGATTAGACGATAGGAAAATGGGCGTTTCTGGCCGGCCGGATCTGATTGGACGATAGAAAAATGGGCGTGTCTGGACGGCCACATCTGATTGGACGATAGAAAAATGGGCGTGTCTGGATGGCCACATCTGATTGGACGATAGAAAAAAAAAGGCTGAACGATAGAAAAAAAAAGGCTGAACGATAAAATGCCGTAACCACAGACACATGATGTCTAAAAACAAGGCGTTATTGGCAGATTGTGTTAACCACAGGCATATTATGTCTATGGTGTTAACCGGTTCGACATTAGCGGCGTCTCGGTTGGACATCGCTCCAGTATACTGCCGCGGCGTCTCCATAACTTCTTTTTTCGACTCTCTTAACACAGAACTTCCGGTTACATTTCAAAATAAGAGCAACATAACTGGGTAGTGGGGAGAGCTAAATGTCAGGGTTTTTTTTAATACCTAGCCATAACATTAAAAAAACAAATTCCATTTTGGTTGTTGAAAAATGTGAACAAAGTTACAATCGATTCATAAAGAAAGAAAAATATTAATGATACTTAAACTGGCCTTGGGACAAAGGAGGTTTCCTTTAACTTCACATTTTCTTGTTCAACCTGCAGTCACTGCAGATGAGTGATTTGTCAGTTTCTGTAAGATTTCTGCAACTGGAGCAGGTATTCTGTTTACTGGTTAACTTCCTCAGCTGTCTCACATTTTAAAGGTCAACCCTACTCCATGTTTCAGTAGAAAACCAGCACATTTAGGAGTCAGTACATAACCAGACTTTTGGCCCTCACACCTGTACCCAGTTGCTCATGCTGCATGATGACATCAGATTTATCCATATTTTAGAAATTACATTTAGCTTAGTCGACAAAACAATACAAATGAAGACTGTCTGTCTTAAAAAACCCTCTTGGTTTTGCAGTAAGCAGCCTGATTTCAAACTGACATCTTGGCCAAAGGTAAAATAAAAATCTTTGTGTTCTCAGAAAAGTTGTTTCAGGACCTCCAATAAACTTATGTACACATCAAAGCACACAAGACAGATTCAGGAATTCTCTTTGTTTTCCAGATTTCACATTTGTTATTACCTTAAAACATACTCAGACAACATTTGATGCATCATTGAATTTTTTTTATTGTGTTTATTGGGACATCCATTTTTAGAAGTCATCGTAGCATCTGTTGGAAACACAGAACATAGTACAGTTAGGGTGTTGCTAGTTGTTACTTAATCCTGGATTGGATTTTAAAGTTAATTTTGATATTTTTTTCACAAGAAAAAAAAAGTTGATTTCCTAAAGTTTAACTATAAATGAAGGAATTTGTGCATTCAGGTAATTGAAAATTAAGTAATTTCTCTAACATCCAACCCATTTTAGCCACTGAGCCATACCAAACACCCATAATCTATTCTTGAATGAATTATTGACTATTATTGACAAATTACAGACTTTTTATTGAATAAGTTATTACTCATTATTGAGTAATGAAAGTCAACATCAGATGTTGGTCAACATTGTTGGGCAACATCTTGGGGTCTTCTAGAGTCAGTCTGAAGTGAGAGAGGTCCCTGACATGGCAGAAAGACATAGATATAATTAACAGCTTTTATTTATTTATTTTTCAGCTAATAACAACTTTTATTTATTTATTTTTTTCATATTTTTCAGTTATACACAGCTTTTAAATATTTATTTTTCAAGTATTAAGAACTTTTATTTTCAGCTTTTATTTTGAAAAGGAGCCGAGTGGAGGTTCACTTTACCTCAGTGCGTTACGACAACAACGAGAGAACGGTCGAAACTATCGTGACCTACAATAAACGTACTTCAATAATATGCATAAGTGAAAACATAACATACTTTATAAGTACAATAAACCATATTTCTTTGTCAAATATCGCAAAGAAACGTTACCTCATCAATGACTCGTGACTTTGAGGGTTACCCACAGCCAATCAGTGTTCGCCGCCGACAAACGCCTATTAAATACTGTTAGCCAATCAGTGTTCGCCGTCCATAAACGCCTATTCGCCAGAAACGCCCACTTTTGGTCTGCAGAGACCCCCTTCTCAGGAAGAGGGCCGGCACCGGAGGAGGGGGGCGTGACAAAGAGACCATCTTAGCACCAACATAACTGGTTTGTTCCATTTTGGAGTAAGCTGTTGGGGAAAGAATCAGTTTTGTGTTGTGTGTTTTTTTGACTGATGAAGGTGAAACGTTTCAGCACAAAAAAAACAAACAAAGAAACCATCCAGATGACCTGACTGAAAAATGTTGGTTAACTATAAAACATTTTTAGGCTCATGGTGGTACTTGAATCTCTGGCTTTACAAACATAGGACTTCTACATGTCAGACTGCAGCTCGGTATTAATGGAGTCGATATATCTGTGGCACTGCTCAGGTATTATGAGAGCCCAGGTTGTTCTGATAGTGGCCTTCAGCTTAAGCCTGTCACAATAACAAATTTTGCTGGGCAATTAATTGTCTCAGAAATTATTGTGCTAAACAATAATATTGTTTGAAATTTGACGATAATTAGTAATTATCGTCAAATTTAAGAAGAAATGTTGGTTAATTTTTGTGTGTAGTACCTTTTTTGACCACTGATGGCAGTATAAGACCATTTGAACCGATGGATGGATAGTGAGGGTGTGAGCAGTGTGTCTAATAAAAACAGGGAGGGAGGCCCCTTGACATGACATGGGCTGTCTCGTTCCTGTTCTTCAGTTGTCAAAATGGTGGACACTCGGTGTGGCTTGAGCTCTTTAGCATAGCATTTGGCACACAAAGCTTTTAATAAAAAATCGGTGAACAAGTTCTCAGCTTCTTTATGGAGATAAACTTTTTAGACAAAGACACGGGTTTCAACCATAAATTTTGGAGCTTTGATAGACGGAGGTCCCCCCGAGGTCGGCCTGTTAGCTTAGCTCATAGCTTAGCTGCTTTTAGATGGTTAAAATAGATTTTAAAGAGAAACGGGAAAGGGAGGGGTAAGTGAAGAGCACTGGAGTTGAGCCTTTTGTCATCCAGTGTCCAGTAGTAAGAGTGACATGAAAAAACGATAAAACCAATTAATTAAAATGAGTTTGATAATTTTCATTTATCATGCGATTAATTGATATATCGTTTATCACAACAGACCTACTTCAGCTCCTTTGAATTGTTGGGTCTGGTGTATCACATCTTCCTCTTCACAATACCCCATAGATTTTCTATGGGGTTAAGATCAGGCGAGTTTCCAGGTCAATTAAGAACAGGGATATTGTCCTTAAACCAGGTACTGGTATTGGCACTGTGTTCAGGTGCCAAGTCCTGTTGGAAAATGAAATCTGCATCTCCATAAAGTTGGTCAGCAGCAGGAAGCATGAAGTGCTCTAAAACTTCCTGGTAGACGGCTGCGTTGACCTTGGACCTCATAAAACACAGTGGACCAACACCAGCAGATGACATGACCCCCCAAACCATCACTGACTGGAAACTTGACTCTGGACCTCAAGCAACATAGATTCTGTGCCTCTCCTCTTCCTCCAGACTCTGGGACCTTAATTTCCAAAGGAAATGCAAAATTTACTTTCATTAGAGAACATAAATTTGGACCAGTCAGCAGCAGTCCCAGACGAGATGCTTCTGATGCTGTCTCTTGTTCAAGAGTGGCTTCACACAAGGAATGTGACAACTGAAACCCATGTCTTGCATACGTCTGTGAGTGGTGGTTCTTGAAGCACTGATTCCAGCTGCAGTCCACTCTTTGTGAATCTCCCACATTTTGGAATGGGTTTTGTTTCACCATCCTCTCCAGGGTGCAGTTATCCCTATTGCTTGTACACCTTTTTTTTTCCTACCACATCTTTTCCTTCCCTTCGCCTCCTTATTAATGTGCTTGGACACAGAGCTCTGTGAACAGCCAGCCTCTTTAGCAATGACCTTTTGTGTCTTGTGCAAGATGTTAATGGTCGTCTTTTGGACAACTGTCAAGTCAGCAGTCTTCCCCATGATTGTGTAGTCTACAGAACTAGACTGAGACCATTTAAAGGCCTTTGCAGGTGTTTTGAGTTAACTAGCTGATTAGAGTGGCACCAGGTGTCTTCAGTATTGAACCTTTTCACAATATTCAAATTTTCTTTGATACTGAATTTGGGGTTTTCATTAATTTTCAGTTATAATCATCAACATTAAAATAAAAACATTTGAAATATATCAGTCTGTGTTTAATGAATGCATATAATATAAAAGTTTCACTTTTTGAATGGAATTACTGAAATAAATCAACTTTTTCATGATATTCTAATTTTATGACCAGCACCTGTATTTGTCATCTCACGTGCTTCTTCTCAAACATCTTGCAGTAAATCCCTCATGTCAGTCTCTCCTCGTTGTTTCCTCTCTCAGCTCTGAATGCTCAGGCTGCGTTGACTCAGGTGAGAGAACGGCAGCTCGCAGCCCAGTCCCCTCCACCGACCCACGCCGCTCAGCTCAACGGAGGTGCCAGCAGCAGTCAGTCAGGTGGGACGGTTGCTCAGCCTCGACCAGAGCACTGCGAGGGAGCTGCTGCTGGTGGAAGAGCCCTTCTGCCTCCGCCGGCTGTCCCGGCTCCTTCAGCTCCTGCCGCCCCCACCGCAACGCTGACGCCCATTCGTCCCCCCGTTTCTCCTCAGAGCTCCACCCTCCGACCTGTGCTGCAGGAAGCAGAGGAAGCAGTTCTCACTAAACTTCGCTGGGCCACCACCCAGCTACAGAGTTCATCGTCGCTGGAGGCGAGCATCCAGCTGTGCAGCCTCATCACCAGCTGTGCCAGCTCGCTGCGCAGCCTCAAAGAGCTCAGCCAGTAACGACAGTGGACTGGTGGAAACCAAGGAGTGAC